CACCCCCCCTCCCCCCCCCCCCCACCTCATATCGATATGTATATATGTATAATATAGAAACGTGGTGGGGTGGGGGGGGTGCATGGCTGCTCAGTAGTTGGGTAAGTTTGAAACAATGTAACCTAAGTCGGTTACATCGTTTTAAAGATCGTTCCATCCCTTTCCCAGCTCCTGGAGTAAGCTCTGGGGTCCCCTCGGCGTTAGTACTGTTATTTATGCCAGCGTGATTCACAAAATAAACCCAGGGATTTCGAACAGGCATCCATAGTACGAAAACCATCCTGACCTGCTGTGGTACTTCTGAGTTCTTTGCAGCAGAAAAACTGTTCTTATTCTGTAGTCTAAAGCTAGTGACAACGACAACTGGCAATTTCCTAGGGTCCAGGAATGGTGGTGGTTCTGTTGTGGGGTGGGGTGGGCAGGGGAGAAAGGATGCTTAGAACAGTGGGTGAAGCACAGGAAGCTGAGTGAGGAAGTAACTGTGGCAGAAACCTGTTGACTATTGCAAAGCAAGGGAGGATTGAAGGAGAGAGACCACAGACAACGATAAAGTCTCACATGAAGGTTGTTGAACGTGGTGGAATTATCCTACCCATCTTCAAGAACTGTTGTGCCAGGCATGCCTAGGGCCCATGAAGTCCTGAAATATCCCCATGAAAGCGTGATTGAGGCTCTGTGGGTACACTGCAAGCACTTACCATTTAATTCAGTGTTATTCCACTGCTGTCCTCCATCTGCATCTCTCAGATGGCCAACAATTATGACACATCAAATGTGAAACTAGTTGCAAATCATGTCAACTTCAGCATTATGCTGCAAGTGTAAGTGGAGGGTAAATTACTGTTCTAGATGAACTAAGACTGGTATTTTTGGGCAACTCTTCCTAGACCAGTTCTTCTTAACCTTTTTAGACTCAAGGCACCCCTTTGAAAATGTCAGCTCTTGTTTTCACTAATTTCTTGACTACAGAAAAATAACAGCTCTCCTTCCTCTGCAAATTGTTGAGAAAGGCCACAATAGGTCAGAATGGCTTGGACACTATGGATTCCTATTTGAAATCTCTGGGTTTATCCTGTGAATTATGTTCACAGACCTAACAGTACCACTGTGTGGCACCCCTGTAGTACCCTTGAAAACATCTCAAGACACTCCAGGTTTCCGTAGTACCCTAGTTGAGAATCCCTTTTTAGGACGCTCAAATAAAGAGGGTTTTTGGCTACCTAGAACCCTACAAATACACCCCTGTACTTTGCTGTGAGGACTATGATGATAACGTAGAGAGGGAAGAAGCACACTGAAGTAGTTGTGCAATTTAAGGTGAGAGAGCAGAACCATGCTAGAGCATGACTAGCTAGAGGGCCTGGATTTGGTGAAGTAAGAGCAGGAGCTTGATAATAGAGAGCATGCCTACATGTGCCCCTGACTGTGTGCTTGTCACTGTGCAGTCATTTAGTACTTTCTTTAGCAAGTACTAAATGACTGCACAATAACTGCTGTTACTGTGAAGTCCTGGCAGTGCATAGGTCTTTTCCAATCTTACTGTGCAGTAGCAATGAGCTACTGCGCAGTAGCATCAGCATCATGGTTCCTGCACACTGATGCTATATTGCTGTAGTGATGAGCTACATTGCTGTAGCTCATCACTACAATGCGGTAGCATCTTGTGTAGACACTCCCAGAAAGAGATAGAAACCATACATAGTCTGTGTGCCAAGCGGCACTGGTAGCTCAGAGGATGTGTGTACACTGTGACCAAGACACTTCTCCCTGGGCCGGCCTACAGATCTACTGGCAGTTGATCTTCCTGTACTTTGCATTTTGGAAGATATCTAGAAAGCATGGAAGCTTATGTATTTTTTGCTCCTAGAGAATCTTTTGTTTTCCCCAGTGATCAAGAAGATCTAGAGATCATAGCCATGCAGTGGAAAGCAAAAGAAATCTTCTCTCATTCACTACCTTTTACTTACTACATCATATAGACCTAAAGAGATAAGAGGGGGGAAGAGAAATAGTTTCATTTCTGTCCATTATCTTTAATTTTCTTAAAAGTTCTTCCTTTTTTCTTCTCTTCTGGAACATAATTTTGTATTGGTTTGTTTTACTTTGTCCATTTGCATAATATAGTTTATGTAATAAATTGCTGGATGCGGAAGGGTCTCTGATCTTTATGTACAGTGTACAGTTTTCAAATTGTAACCTGTTTATTATCTTAGCTTTTAAGCAATGCACATAGTTTTTTTTGTGTTGAACACTTTTCAGTTTTCTAATTTAATAATGCTCAGTTTTGCTTCTGGCTGGTTTTACATTCATTCACACTTTTACCATTTCAAATTAAGTTTTCCTTCATGATTCAGAATTCCTTTCACTCTCTCTTTGCTTTATAAATGCTTAAAGTTTAATACAGTGCACCTTACAAAGACAATGAGCATCTGTGTCCCCTGCTTTGCCTTCCACAGAGTGCATGGGCAGTAGCGACAAAGGTTCAAAGACAGCATCCTCCTACCAAGGCACATAGATTCATAAATAGGGTATAAGTGGCATGGTGATGCAGAGCCAGGGAACCCAATGCCACATTGTGGAGCCTCTCTTGCACAACCTCTCAGTCACCTGATTTAACTGTGAAAGGGGCTGGGGGGTAGGGGGGGATGAAGTTGTTTGAAACTGATACTTTAAAGACTGGCACTCTCCCAGTTATATGAATTGTGTCATCTGGGGTCTTGGTTATGGCCATACAACTCATTTACAGTCCACAACAAGACCACAAATAACATTAGGATAGGGAGGGATGTGGTGAAACATTTAGAACCACTAGAAAGCAACACAAGTACAAATAAATAGTTTGAAAGGAAAGCTTAGCCATAGCTCAAACATTGTCACTGGGATAAAATAATTTCCTGTCTTGCTTGAGGAAGGATATTTCAGAAGTCCAAAAACCCTGGCATTTTATATCCTTCTAGAGCAACAGCATTGATGTTAACCCCCACTTTTACAGATGAGCTTTGAGTGGCCTAATTTAGTTTAGTTGTAATACACTGTTGGCAGGCCATTTTAAAACCATTAATCTAAAAGTTGCTAAACTGTTGCTTTTGTAACTTGGATGAGGGGTAAAGTTAGGTGAAATGAACAACAGTGGAAAAATGACTGAGAGAGATACAGGGTATAAAAATCTGCAAGGTATCAGGATTGTTTGGAATCTGTTGGAGAAAAATTTGGAATTTGAACCCTGGGTTTTCCAGCTGCCTAGTGAGGAATGGCCATCTAAACTACAGCAATGGATATTTTTTCACATACAACACATTTTTTCCCCCCCAAAATCAGCTGCTGGAAATGGATGGTGTATTCTGTGTTAGGAAATGTAATGGTTTCTGCCACCTAACTTGGACGGGGGGGAGGGGGAGGAAGTGAAAGTAAAGTATTCATTTGATCCACAAGGGACCAGTACAATGAACTGACTCAGTTTCCTGGCTACTGCTACTCAGTGGGCAAGTCTACATGAGATATTTACTGCAGTTGCCTAATTAGCTCTGCAGTGAATGTCTTGGCATCTAAACTACACATTTACTATTAGGCTGCAGGAAACTAATAAACTCCAAAGCAGAGTAGTACTTGTACAAGTACTATCCTGCTATAGAGTTTTTTACTCTGCAGCAGTGCACGTGTGGACACTGACATGGTTGGCTAGGCTAGGGCACAAGGGTGCTTTAGTGTGGGGGTTGCCTGCCAGCTAGCCCCACTCTGGAGCACCCTCATGCTCCAGCAAGCCCTGCCACAGCACATTGAGTCAGTTTAGAGAAGCCCCAGGCTCGTAGGCTGACCCCCAGACCCTCTACCAGCCTGGGCTACTCCAACCCGGCTCAACGTGTTGCAGTCCTGGGTGCACATATAAATGGCATGCCTGAGAGCAATAAACTCCAGTGCAGTATGTTGCAGAGTTTATTGTTGTGCATTAATTGCATATGTAGATGCTCCCAGTTACTACAAGGAAAGATCTTTTCTTTTTCTTCATTCTGCCTTTCAGAAACATGGGTCACATCATATTCTGGCATGTGTTGTATGGGAGAAAAACAGTGTTTGGAACCGATGATCATGCAAGTATTTGCAATGAAGCACTTTGCTTTAAGAGACTGAGTGGAGTCTCACCTCTCAGTGACACCAAAAGTGTCCTGAGCAGTACCACATTAAGGCCAGGGGTAAAATATGTACCTCCCCATATGGACCATCAGACTGCAGCACCAGCATTAGTATCCCTTGTGGTGAACGTACCCATGGAATTCTTCAGAAAGGCTCTGCAACAGTTCAGAAAACTGCCCTCTCAAATCCCGCTACAATTTCACGCGTTTCCCTAATACCAATCTCAAGGATTGAGAACAGGTGCCAGAAATGGGTGGGCAGGGAGTGGTGTTGGGGTAGAAAAGAGTTTCTTGTATTTGGATATCAGTGGCTATTGGGAAGGAGAGTGGGATGGTGGGAGAGTGGGATTTGCTTGTGTGGGATTTTGAGCAGGGATGTGGAGGGAGGGAGGAGTTTTTTGGGTGTTGTTTAATTTTTTTTAAGTGTGAGCCACTCACAGCTATTTAGATAGGGTGGGATATACATCTGATAAAATAGAAAACAAAAAACTATACTCCCTTATGGAAGGGCTACTCAACCCCTGGCCCATAGAACCATATCATCCAGTCCAGTAGTTCTCAACCTTTTTTTTAACCAGGACCCATTTGTAAACATCAGTGCCAGTTCCCCTCACTCCTGACCCACTGCCCCTTGCCCCCAGGCCTCAGCCCCCCAGTGTATAGGGCAGGGGATGGGTATGTGGGGCAGGAGGGGTGTGTTTGGGTTATGGGGGGCCCCACGCAGCCCCTTGCAGGCTGGAATTTTGCCAGCCTGCAAGAGAAAATCCACAGTTTACCATGTTTTTCTCCTTTAAAGGAGAATCCATTTTAAAAGTTTGTTTATGACCCTTTCATATATTCTTGCGAC